TCTCTTCTGTTTATTTATTGTTTATTTATATTTATTTATGACATTTGAATTATAGAATAAAAGAATAATTTCAATGCAAGGAAAAGATCGGAGGCATTCCGAATAAATCGTTCATCTTGCGTTCACCGTTCACTTTGCGCTCGCGTTCGCGCTCCGTTCGCGTTCTGCGTTCACTCACCGTTCACCGTTCACACATCGTTCACCAAGTTGCGTTCACAGTTCGCACATCGTTCACTCACCGTTCGCTCTGCGTTCGTTCAGCGTTCGTTCACCGTTCAGGTGGGAAAGTAGAACGTTTCAGGGACTGTATAATATATTGAACCCCGCGATATTTTGAACCCGGGTTCAAAATATCGCTGCGAAATATTGAACCCCCCCCCCTATAAAATATTGAACCCGGGGTTCAAAATATTATGGCCATAAAATATTGAACCCCCATGTCCTTTTAAGTTAGAAGGGTGGGGGGTTCAAAATATTATGGCCATAAAATATCGAGTCCCCCTGTCCTTTAAATTTTATAGGGAGGGGGGTTCAAAATATTATGGCCATACAATATTGAGTCCCCTGCCCTTTAAATTAAAGAGGGAGGGGGGTTCAAAATATTATGGGCATACAATATCAAGTCCCTCTGCCCTTTTAATGTATGGGGGAGGGGGTTCAAAATATTAAGGCCCTAAAATATCCAGTCTCCCTGTCCTTTTAATTTAAGAGGGAGGGGGGTTCATATGTTAGGGCCATAAAATATCCAGTCCCCTGTCTTTTATTTTATGGGGGAGGGGGTTCAAAATATTATGGCCGTAAAATATCCAGTACCCCTGTCCTTTTAATTTTACAGGGAGGGGTTTCAAAATATTATGGCAATAAAATATCCAGTCCCACTGCCCTTTTAATGTATGGGGGAGGGGGTTCAAAATATTATGGCCATAAAATATCAAGTCTCCCTGTCCTTTTAATTTTATGGCCATAAAATATCCAGTCCCCTGCCTTTTATTTTATGGGGTAGGGGGAGCTGAAAGATTTCTCTGACTTTTACATTTTTTATAACCAAAACAGTTCATTTTTTATAACCAAAACAGTTCATTTGTCAGAAATGGTTAAATCTTGACAAAAGAATGGGTGGACAAGAATATCATTTAAAAAATAAGCATGGCGACCATCAAAAGCAAAATCTGTCTTGGGAGAGACGTTTATTTAAAGTGGATGGAGAATGGGTGCCTACTTTTGAGGTCACCTGAGTAAACTCAGGTGACCTATTGTTATCCGTTTTCGTCTGTCGTTGTGCGTTTTGCGTTAACATTTGAACATTTTCAGCTTCTGCACTCTGTACTTCTGAGTACTTTGATTAAGTTCTGAAGTTCTAGTGACCATAATTTGAGACTAGAGATTGCTGATGTTGATTTGTTTATTTGTTTTTGTAGATATGGTAGAGGGTGAGGTAGGTGACATGGAGAAGTTAGGAATCACAGAATCCTTCCAGGTCAAGCGCCAAGTCTTAATGAGCGCCTCGGAGGCTGCTGAAATGATCTTACGTGTTGATGATATCATCAAATCAGCACCAAGACCTCGGCAGCCGGATCACAGACATCACTGAAATCATGGACATTAGTGACATTTTGATAAATGTATGTCTGAACAAAGTACTGTCTTAAGTGTTTAATCAAGTAACTCAAACAAGTAAACCATGTATGAATTGTAATAAATTTCTATTATTTAATATATTTATTTGATCCATTCATTCTGATTTCCAATCCTTAAATTGTTTGATGGCTTGTCCAATGTAAGAGTTTTTTTTTGTCTTAAAGCTGAACACGACTCGTTAATAGGCATTGAGCATTTTCAATATTATCTAAGATAAATCAACACCAGGGTATACCCTTCGCATTCGTCTAACTGCTTTATTGTCATGGGTATTGGCGTGGAATGGCGACTCATGTTCCTGCTGGTTATCTTGCATTACCTTTGTTTACATTTATTGCATTTAAGAATTTTTTTGTGTTTGTTTGTATACTGCACTGACCATTACATCTTTAATTGTAAGTTTCTTAGGAATTTAGACAAAGTATTATGTTATTATTGTCACTAACGAGTGCTGTATAGCATACATTCGTCTTCACCTGTGTCGATTGATTACACTGAACAGTGACAAAAGACCTGCCCTTTAAATAGGGGTCTGCAGGTATAGTAATTCTCCAACAAAAATGGCGCACATATTCCTTTTATGAATCGTGTTCAGATTTAAGCTTAAACTGTATTTAACATGTCTTAAAATAATGCTGTGGCAAGTTTACTTTGAGAATGTCACCCAATATGGTATAATTAAGAACTACATACATCTTTTTTGGGGGGCAGGGGTTAAGTGAAAAAGATGCATATTTAACTGTGGAACCTATTCCATTACTGAAGCTTCTGAATATTTTAATAATTTTAGGAAAATAGTAAGTAATTTTTCCATTTTATAAATTATGGAATCTCAAAGATACAGATCCGCCAAAATATGGCTGATATATCGCCGACTCAGTGTTAAATAATATACAGTGACGGTCAAGCTGCATGGTTTCTAAATCTTACTGAGTATCAGCTGGAAATTTCGTATTGCTGAAGCCATGCAGCCTCTAAAGGACAATACAAGTCTTGTCTATTTGTTTTAATGACGTGTAACAATGTGTTTTTACCTCGAAGTTTGAATTTGAATGTCGGAAAATAAATTGAATACTACAGTGTAGTATATGAATTCTTGTGAAACCATTCTTTTTTAATTGATTCAAAAATTTTTTACCCATTACGAGACGTGACTATGTACCTGTGAAATTAACTCGGCACTTTGGGCAATTGAAGAGTGCAAGAGGGGCTTTTTTCATGCTGACTTCTGCCATGGCACGAAGTCTCGGTTTTCAAGGTCTCATCCTTTCACATTAAAGTGCCAAGGTGGATGAGATCCTATAAACGGAGGTCCTGTGTCGCAGTAAGTGCTGAAACAAAAAAAGACCCCCCCCTGCTCAATGGCCCTGAGTGCCGAGTACTACAAAAGAGCCATAGTTGCCTTACCGAGGTATCGGCCGACTCAAGTATTTAAAAGGAAATCACCTGTTTCTATTTATAGATACATGTACCTTTTCAATTCAAAATCAAACTACATATCATTTGTGCACCAGTGTTATATTTTTATAGTTGCAAGTTTGTTGCATGACAAAAATTTTACTTGTTCAATACTCTTATTCTAAACAAGATTTTTTAAAAAAATTTACCATAAAACAAGCAAGCAGCTTTTTTCATGACTTTGGGTCATTAAAATAGTTTGACTGATTTTTCCCGAGATACTTTCAAGGTGTAATGTTTTATGATGTCTCTTACATTATTTTTACATGTATTAAAAAATGATAAAAGAAAACTCGGGGAAAATGCACAGAGAGAAAAAAAAAATAAAATCATAGACAAGAAACACGCACCGTAAGACTCGAACTCATACCACTATGCTACGATGTAGTGAGAATCGTATGAATAAATCTAAGACAGATTGTAGAATCTCGAAATCATTGTAGAAAAAAAATTAAATACATATTTTCAAAAAATTTAATATGAAGACCACCTTTAACCAAAATTATCTAAATGTAATAATGTACAGTCATATCCAAATAAAATTATTCAGAAGTTTTTTCTGGTTAAGGGTGGTCTTTTGCTACAGTCTGTAATTCTTTAGGGGGATTCCTCAGTATTTACTATATTCCCCATATAATCTGAACGATTTTCATGTCTATCATATGAGGGAACTATGAATATTTGAATATTATTTTTTTTGTGATTTGCTTTTAGGCATGTATAAACTAAAATTGCATAACAAAATTTTGGTTAAACAATGTAATAAAAAATGATTAGGCGAAAGTGACTATCAAATGCGCTATGGCTCTTTGCAGCATTCCACCAGCAAGTGGTGGCGTTTTCATGTGAGTGAAAATTCTCGAGAAAGACGGTAAACAACAAGCAATCAAACAATTGAAATTAAAAAAAATTTCAATAGAGGCCTAGGTGTAGAAGGGACTTTATTTAACACGCCATTCTCGATATATTTTAATGAAATAAGATCTATGCATTTCATCTTTGTGAAAACACTTTCAACAACTTTGTTTATATCATCATACACGTGTTTAACTCAATATTTGAAAATAAATAATTTATTGTCATTTCTGTAAAAACTATAGAAAATTGCAATATTGTTCCTACGGATTAAGAATAAAGTTAAAATTTGTGAAAGGTCAAGGATGTGTCAATCAAACCCGCCAAAAAAATTGAAATTTTAATATTTTTTATATGAAATAAGATTTTTAATTAATTTTTTGTGTGAAATGTTATTAAAATATATAATTCGTGATATTATACAGAAAGTATTAACTTCAAATCTGTGTCCAAGTACCTTTAAAAAAACATGTGCAAATGCATATCATGTAAAATTTCAAGGCAAACAGTATTGAATTACATGTATTTAAGATATTCTGAAGGATTGATTTAATTTAATCTTTTAAGGATACCGATAATTTGAAAAATACAATTTTTAAGAATGTTGTGAAGTATAGTTACGTTTTTTAAAGGCATATTGTTTACATAATTGTATTTTTACAGGAATTGTTGCCAGAACATTCATTGACTGTCTTTGCATCTTTTAACTGAACTACAGAGTATGTAGGAATAATGATAAAGCATAACAATGTAAAATATTTTTTTTACTTATTGTTCAGGAAATTACAAACCCAATGAACATCTTTGACATCAGGATGCAAATATTATGTTTAAATAATATAAAGAAAATAAATATATCTAAAGTCAATGCAATTGGCTTTAGTAACTATTTGTTCTTTTTATAGGTTTCTTAGTACATGTCTTTATCCGTAATTTTTTAAATGACTCTGGAGTTTATAACTTAATCTTAAATACTAGTACTCAAAACGTACACAAAGCAACGTAATAGAAAGATTATGCTATAAACGAATGATGCATCAGTTAGTCTGCTAAACAGTACCACAGATCCAGTACCTCGTTAATTCTTTTGTGTTGACAAAATGGTGACTCTCAACTTGATGCAACGGGCAACTGACTTGGTTTCCTATCTTAATGTCTTTCTCGGGAATGAAATGACCTTCCATATCCATTGTTAGGCATTGCTCTTTTTCATCCCTACAGCTAAAGCCTCTGACATATTCGACTCTTTTATGATAATTTGATGTAATTTTCTCCAGTAGTTTTTCAACAATTTCTTGGATGTCACAAGATATCACTACATCTGACGAAGAGTTAAAGGAATCATTTGGAAAGTATATTTGAAGCTGTATTGACGTTTCCGTGACTGCAATTGCAATTTTGTGGTCTTTGTATGAAAACAAAGCAACGTTCTTGTAAAGACACGAATTCCCATTCTTCAACACCTTCCAACCCTCTGCACCCAGACAAGCAACTACAAGACGAAAGTATAAAAAGTAAGGAAGGTATTTGAACTGAAATACTAGAATGGAAGTTTTGGATTCGACGATCTTATTTAGGATATTTTTGTCAAACGTTTTTCTGTTCATGCATGGTATATAGAGATCTTTTCCTTCAGAAGCTATTAATCCCAGTCTTTCCATGAACTTAAAGATAATGTCAAAGTTATCCAGATGATATGGCAAACTCTGATTAACGCTTTTTTCTTCAGTACTTTGTGATTCATCTCTCTGGAAATACACAGATTTTTCTGACTTACGAGAAAAAGGTTTCTTCGAAACAGAATGAGGAGCTACGGAATTGTCATTTTTGCAAGCTTCTTTTCTTTCTTTTTCGTCTTTGGTTTTAATAAGTTCTCTTAAAATGTCTTTTGTCATATGTCCAGTATAGTAATAGTTATTCCAATCTAACCTTGTTGCAATGCCATCTAAGTGATTTTTATCAGTGATAATGCCTTTGAAAATGTTAACAAACCATTGTACATCAATAATAACCAAGTTTTCTAAACCATCTTCGTTGAAATGCAAAACTTTTCCAACATCATGATAATACCGAAGCATGTCTTTCTTTTCATTTTCTTCTGTGTTTCCTTTTTCTTCTGCCTTTTCCCTAGTCAACGTTACTATGTTTGACAGATCAAGGATTTTTGTCCTAGATTTCCTTTCGCTGATTTCAATGTCAAAAAGAGCCCAGTCTTTCGGAATATTTTTTTTCCAGTGGTCTTGGAGCGAAATCTCTGATATGCGTTTTTCTAATGCTTCTAGAGGTGTGGGGGGAAACTGTGTGAAAAAGCAGCATTCTATTTTCACGTACTGTAGCAAAAATGAGTTCTCTGGAATCTTGCCTTGTAAACGCTCAACAAAACATTCTTTACTCTGAAAAATAATTTCCATACAGCTATTTGCTTTAATTATTGCATTTTTGCGAACAATAAAAGCATATTGTTGTCGATAACAGCATACTTAGGTGAACTTAGGAGCATTTTGTGAGACATACGCCATACTAATTCATAATACTAAATAATTCATGCTATCATAATGTTATTATAATAAAGAAATAATAAGTAATAGTACGCAAGGAGAAAATAAGTAGTAGTTAGTAGGTCATTATAATGGCATAGATTAAGATGTAGTAAGGATATAGTAAGTCATAAAAAGAGATGATAAATCACACGATCGACACATACTAATTTATAAAATGAGATACTACATTGTAACGTGTAATTTGATCAAGCATTCGAGAAATTAAGTCCTTATTACATTGTATTATGATATATCCTAAGACGTGCTTATGACATAATAATTTAATAACAAAATAACTCTCACCCATTCGCATAAACATAAAAACCCAAGAAAAAGATTTTTAGATTAATTTTGTAATCTGTCGTTTTTAAATGTCATAATTAAAATACCAGTATTATGCATGTACAGTATGATGCAATAAATATTCGTACAAAATGGCGACCTGTTTACAAGTGCGTTCCGAATTACATATTTATAGAGGAAATAAAGTAGTTTATGAATAGAGATTGGAATTTTGGTAGTTATTTTTAACTTTTTTAATGATGTGACATTTCATTCAGCACGAATAGATGATATCACTTATTCGAATAAGTGATATCACCTATTCATTTCCAATAGGTGATATCACCTATTCGAATAGGTGATATCATCTTTTCGAATAGGTGATATCACCTATTGAAAATGAATAAGTGATATCAACAATTCGAATAGGTGATATCAACAATTCGAATAAGTGATATCACCTATTCAAATAGGTGATATCACTTTTTGCCGGTAAATACCAAAAGGGCACCTCATAGAAAAATCCCTGTTGACAACTTTTGGAGAAAAGTTATATTCGCAGATGAATCCAAGATTTTGGTGGGAGAAGACTCTCGTGTGTATATTTGGCGGAAATGGGGAGAAGGTTGGAGGCCGGATTTGGTGGAGAAGCGCAAAACAAAATCATGTTACCAAGTAATGATCTGGGGATGTATCACTATTTCTAAAGTGGATGGAAATATAAATGCTGATAAATATCAGGCAATCTTAGACGACAATTTGTGGCCAGTGTAAGCCCGTTATTTTGCGACTGGAAATTATATTTTCCAAGACGACAATGCTCCTGTACACTGTGCACGTTCTACTCAGGATTATTTGCACAAGAACGGATGAGCTGGCCAGCCCAGAGTCCAGACTTAAATATAATTGAAAATCTGTGGCTTCTTATCAAAAGAAAGCTTGAAGGAAGGATAGGGCGAATTGAGAACAAAGACGATCTCTTCCGTGAAATCTAGCGCATCTGGACCGACATTACACCAGAGTATGTCAAAGGCCTGTACAGGACCATTCCGAGACGGTTACTAAGTGTAATACGCTGAAAGGGTCACCTTAGAAAGTACAACGTTATTTTTGATTTACATGTATTTAATTTCTGAAATGAAATAAACGATTTACAATGTTGATCTACTTTCGTCGCGAGTGTAAACACGCCGCCATTTTGTACGAATATATATATTGCATCATACTGAAAATGTATTCATATTTTGTTTCTGTCAAAAATTCTGAGATGGATTTTCTGAGTGGCTATTGAAACGAAAACCCACCCATTCCCTTCCCAAAATTATAAATAGACCATTTTTTTCGTTTTTTTATATAACGTTTGAAGCAAAAGCTGCTTAGATTAGTCCAGGTTGTTTTAGATACATATTTCGGTTTTCAGTGCATCTGCAACTTGCAGCGTATTTTAAAATATGTGACAATTGATAGTAGTCCATCACGTATGTCAGGCTGGAAAAGCCTGTGCGATCCAAACCATACTCTTATCTTTTACAACTCGTGATGAAATGTGTGCATGAGGAAGTTAGAAACATGATAAAGTCGGGAGTGATTGAAAAACAGTCCATATTGTTCATCCATTGTGATTGTGAAAAAGAAAGAAAGTGCAAATAGATTTTGTATTGACGTAAGAGAAATTACAAAATTAAATATTTGTTGCTGAAACTATATTCCAAACATAGATGATGTATTTGTGCAGTTAGTAGGTTGTAGATATGTTTCTAAGGTTGTTTTGTGCATAGGAAATTGGGAATTTCCTTTGGCAGAGTCTGTAAGAGAAATAACGGCGTTCCAAACATCCCTTGGACTTTATGAATTCAGGTCATGCTTTTTGGGCTAGAAAATGCTTCAGCAAGTTTTACCCGTTTATTGAGAAAGTTATTATCAGGGATGTAATAAATGGAAAATTTCATTGATGATGTGATCATTTTTCTATAACTTTTCAGGAGCATTTAGTGGTTATTAAGGAGTTCCTCCAAAGATTAATTGCGAGCAGCTAACTTGACAGGTACATTTGTAAGCCAAGCAAATTTTTTTTTTGGATTCAGCAGTATAGATTTTTACTTTTGGAAAACATTACAGGAAAAGAGGAACTCTGACTAATTCCAGACAAGGTTGAAGCAATCCAGAACTGTTTAAGACCTACAACAAAGAAACAAGTAAGATCTTTTCTTAGTATACATGTAGTCGGGTTTTATCATATTAAGTTTATTCCCAATTTTCAGCTTTTACTGCACCATTATCCGACCTGACGTAAAACAGGTCGAGATCACTACCTTATATGGAAGGCAATTTTCAACACGTGACGATGTCTTCATCACACCCGTTCTCCGATCAAGTGAATGAGTCCCAAAGCATGACACTCTACTACGTGTTTACGATTCAATGGCGACACGTGGTTTTCGTCGGTTTACTGCACATTATTTAACTCGTCACTGAAAAACTGTAGAGCTTCACTTTACATGCTTTATAAGACCAAAATTGAAAGATAATATTCTAAAGACATTGGTCCATCCTCAGATTTGATATTGGAGTTGTTTTAGATGATTATTAGTTGCTTCGAATACCGTACAAGCGCTTTGACGTCTGCATGTACATAAAATAATAATGAGGGTTAAAAATTAATAATTAATAATGACCTTCTCCTGCTGTCTAAATTCAAGGACCTATATCCTACCTGCTAAAACTATGTACACGTATTTCATGTGAAAACAAACTCAATGTTTTATCGACACGATTCATGTTGCACAGGTCTACGTCTCTTTGTACAGGTTAATGCCGATGTTTTATAAGTTTATATAATGTTTTCATAAAGCAAATTTTGTAAATGTGAGCATAGAAATGAAAGATTATACGTTATTTTAAATATTTCTTCAACAAATTTCAAAAAAGACTTGAAAATAAGTTTCCAAGGGACAATTCAAGTTACCCTTTATTTTCAACACAGCCGAGTACTTGTAGTAGCCCACAATGCATTGCAACTCATTCATCAGTGGGTAAAGTAAACATATAGCTAATTTACAATAAAATTTATTCTGACGTCAGAAAATCTAGTGGTCTCGACCTGTAAAAGGGACAACTAAACAAAGTTTTGGGAGAGACCCAACAGAACGCTTTCATCACGCTGAAATCAGCACGTATGATACCGAATGTACTGAAGCTGCCGAACATCAACGAAAAGTTGCAGACATTCTGACGATTCTTGCAGACAGACTCACCAGATGTTGGCATAGGAACGGTTCGTCTCCAGTATGAGAATGGCATAAAAAAAAACCGTTGCTTACACCAGTAAAAAAAACTTACAGCGCAGCAAGTTAAGTTCTCTATGATGAAGAAAGAATGTTAAACCAGCATATGGGCGGTTTCGGAGATATCTGTACTGAAAACGATTTTTTTGGAGGCAGAACATAATACTTATTTCTTTGTCTCAAACCAAAGTGCTTAAGGCAAGACTAATGAGATGGTCCTTAATTTTGCAGCCTTATACACTGTAGGTTCCGTATTGTGGCGATTAAAGGATAAAAAACGTCGGACCCAGTACTGATTGTCTCAGTAGATTGTAGGGCAGAGTTAAAGGTACTTGGACACAGATTTGAAGATATTTTTTTCTCTATAATATTTCGACTTATATATTTCAATAGCATTTCACATAAAAATTAATAAAAAAAAATCTTATTTCATATAAAAAATATTAAAATTTCAAATTTTTGTCGGGTTTGATTGACACATCCTTGCAATTTCACAAAATTAATTCTCGTCTTGATCATTAGGAAAAGTGGCAATCTCGTTGTGTGTAAATGAAAAATATGAATACTATAATCCAGAAAATTCAGAGTAGACATGTTCGAAAGTAAAACAAACACACAATATATTGTCAGTACGTGCAGTTGTTGTAAGCAGACTGTGACGATTGAACGCACCCGGTGAATTCTAAATATAAACAATAATAGAACTCGAGCCCTGTTTACAAAAACTGTGTACATAACACGAGTGTGCTCGATTTGCTACATTTGTAAACTCTATACGCAGCCCGTAGTTAGGAATGACGATACTTGTGAAGGAGTTTTGCTTTCTAAAATTTGTACTCGGAATAAAACTTCTGGATAGAAGTTTTAATATTTCTCATTAATACACAACAAAATCGCTACTTTTCCTAAGGATTAAAAATAAGGTTAAACTTTGTGAAAGTGCAAGGGTGTGTCAATCAAATCCGCCAACATTTTTTTAATAAATAATTAGTTTTAATAACTTTTAAATGAGATAAGATTTTTAATCAATTTTTGTGTGAAATACTATTAAAATATATGTCTTAATATTATAGAAAAAATTTGACTTCAAATCTGTGTCCAAGTACCTTTAAACATCATTAACCTTATAGTTTTGTACATACGTTTTCATTGATTGTGAGCTTTGCAAAAGTTCAGTGAACTTTCTTAAGGATAAATAACACAAACAAACTTTTTTCAGAAATCAGCATTATTTTTCATAGATTTACATTTAAATTGACATCCTGAATAATGTTTACCAAGTAGAGT